ATGGAACTCTTTTTGCGTTCTTAAAATCTGATTACATTGAGGTTTAAATTTTAAAATGCTAATCACAAGTAGCGACTTTAAATGTTCATCGGATAAATTTGCCCTGTATTTCGACTTGATGTAGTTCATCTGGGAAAAAGTTTGTTCACACAGATATGTCGTCCCAAAAATGGAGATAAAGTTACAAGCAAATTTCTTTAAATTTGGAAATTGCTCAGAGTTCAGAAATTTATAAAATTCAGTCAAATTTCCTTCCTTGTATTTGTCTTTAATATGATAATTTTCCTGAAGTTCAATAATTTCCATTTGAATTTGACTTGGGACATCTGCAGCATCACAGTCAAACGGATTTTAAAACAATTTAATTTCCTAAGCACTGGCATCCAAATCAGCAAATCGCTTATGAAATTGTTCATTCAAATCTGAAATGACTAAATTTGCAAACGAGGAAGGAAATTCAGCTTCACCCTTTTTATGCAGCTCTGCATAGTGTAGCATATGAACAAAGTTACAATTTTTCGCTTGGCTTTCCAGAAGTATCAACTTTGCTCTGAATGCCTTGATAAGGGCAAATAAATCACAGACTAAGTTATTTTCACCCTGCAACTTTAAATCCAAATTGTTCATATGGTTCACCAGATCAGCAAAAAAGCTAATTTCCAAAGCCACTCGGTATCTGATAAAAGTGGTTGTGAATAATATTAATATTAACATAATATGGAATATCAATATATTTTAAACACAATCTTAATTAATGAATTTGAAATCTATGAACAAGTATTTCTTTTACTAGTACTCATTGGAAAATTAGTTAAATTGGCGTGTTTCTGCACAATCCTTTCGCGGGCCGGACGTGGCCCGCGGGCCATAGTTTTTAGACTATTGCTTTAGACTGTGCCATTAGGAATGTCCATGAAAACCAGGTGGGACTGAAATAAAACGGGACACATCAGCTGTTGTTCTATGTCGATGATGTGAATCTACTGGGTGATAATATAGATACCATAAAGAAAACACACAAACTTTAATTGACCCAAGTAAGGAGGTTGGTCTAGAAGTAAACATAGAGAAAACTAGGTATATGTTACCTTCTCGTCACCAAAACGCAGGGCAAAATAATGACATAAAGATAGGAAACAGATGTTTTGAAAATGTGGCATCATTCAGATATTTGGGAACGACGATAACAAATCAAAACCTGATTCAGGAGGAAATTAAGAGGCGATTGAACTCGGGTAATGTTTGCTACCATTCAGTGCAGAACCTTTTGTTTTCTCGTCTGTAGTCCAAAAACATAAAAATTAGAATATACAAAACTATAATTTTGCCTGTGGTTCTGTATGGGTGTGAAACTTGCTCTCTGACATTAAGGGAGGAACATAGACTGAGGGTGTTTGAGAAGAGGGTGTTGGACCTAAGAGAGATGAAGTGACAGGAGATTGAAGAAAACTTCACAATGAGGAACTTCATAACTTATACTCTTCTCCAAGTAAAATTAGAATGATCAAGCCAAGGAGGATGAGGTGGGCAGGGAATGTAGCACGAATGGGGGAGACGAGGAATGCATATAGGATATTGGTGGGCAAGCCAGAAGGAAAGAGACAACCGGGAAGACCGATGTGTAAGTGGGTGGAGATTATTAAAATGGATCTTAGAGAGAGAGGATGGGATTGTATGGTTTGGATTGATCTGGCTGAGGATGGGGACCAGTAGAAGGCTCTTATGAACACGGTAATGAACCTTCGGGTTCCATAAAATGCTGGGAAATTCTCGACTAGCTGCAGAATTGGCTGCTCCTTAAGAAGGGCTCAGCTCCATGATTAAGTAAGTGTAAGCCTGTAATATCAAACTGCAGGCGGTCAGTGAGGTTTGTTGTAGACTATGTATAGGGCTAATGTGAGATAGGTTACTGGTTCTAGGAAACTCTACTCCTGTTTTCGGTCTGTAAATCAGTAGGCACTGAGAATTACTGCTTATGTTTCGTAGATAGGTCTATGTGTGAGAACTGTAACGTTTGCCACTCTATGCTTGAGGACGTCTGTTTCTTGAAATGAAATTTGAAATGCATTCCTGGCTTTGTCAAATGTGCCACGTTTCTCTGAAATGAATCTTTACCCCTCATGCGACTGTCACGCCTCCCTTTCTCTCTGCCGGTAGTTCTCTGTGGGGGTGTAATTCGTTGGGGAAATAGTGTCCTGATTTCCCCTTACCAATTCCGTGCTATCGATCTGGTCTTTGATCTTCAAAGAGTCTTTCCCACCGAGCTGATGCTTTAAAGTTGTAGTATTTTTCATATAGTCACGCATATAGTGTGGCTATAGGCGAGTTTTCGACGTGTGACAGATGTATCGGACTCTTTGATCACCAGTAAAACAACACTTTTTGAGCCATAACTTTCCATAGAAAATTCTGCCAGAACTTATCCGGTTTTCAGTTCTTTTGATTTCACAAAATAAATCTTTTGCTGATCAGGGTTTTCAACCTTGCGTCCAACCCCCAACCTGGAGGACCAGGTCCCTGCATTTATGTCTCCCAGTGATAGGATGACCCAGGCACCGGGTTCGCTTTCGTCTTCTACGAGGTGTACCGGAAGTTTCCGGAGTAGGTCAAAAAACAAAAGGTGGCTTGACTTACTCAATTCTGGCTGCCATCTCCTTGGAACGTATACTGCCATCCCATCGTTTTTCCACACTTCAGAAGCACCGTGGAGTACCGCTTGCCACACTGAGACGCCACACGCTTGAGACACTGCTCAAAACGTCGTTCCTTCAGTTTCCTATTCAGAAAAACAAAGTGAAATCACATGGAGCTATGTACGGCGAGTAGGGAGGATGGGGAACGATAACCATATTGTTGTTAGTCACAAACTCTGTGTTTTTCAGGGATGTGTGGGCAGGCGTCTTGTAGTGAAGAAGGAGTCAGTTGTGGTTGCACAAAATTTTCTGTCAAGATCTCCTGGTAAACTCCATAACTGATTCCAACTGTGTCTTCGAGGTCATGGATTGTTCGGCGACGGTCTTCGTGAATGGGTTTTCGAATTTTTGCAACATTTTCCATCGTTTTGTTGGTGCTTGATCGCCCCGAATGTTTGTCATCTTCAACTGACACTCGATTGGCCTTGAAACGTGAATGTCATTCAAAAACCGCTGGCCAGTTTAAAGAATAGTCTCCAAAACCACCACCACCACCACCAACGGCTCTACAGCCCTTTGTTGGGCCCTGGCTTCTTCAGTTTCCTAATCTTTTTTACACAGTCGGTAGGAATCCTTGGATGAGTGATCGCCGTGACGCAAGGCCTCTACGTACACACAGGACAACACAGACACAGAATAAACCAACACACAGGCTTTCATGACTTTGAGTTGGATTCGAACCCACGATCCCACCGTTCTAGGGAGCGAAAACAGTTAATGCCTTAGAGAGCGCGACCACCCGTGATCGGCTACAGGGAGTATTACATATGTAAATGTATAAATTATATCAAGTGTTCAATTAACACGACCGGTTTCTCAAATACAACATTGGATTACGCATCATTAGGCCCTATGGTATATTAATTTATAATATTTTATAACATAGTATAATTTGGGAAATAATTATACAGTATATAACATCTATTTTTCATAAATTTAGACTTATATAACTGAGACAGTAGGTCTAAATCTGCTTTAACTACTATTTTTTTTATTGCTTGTGGGATGGGACTAAGTCTCTGGTACTGCGGCCACTTCTGGCCTATTGTACCAGCCCCAGATGATAGGTGAGGGTGATTGTGGAGCAACTGGTGGAATGAAGATTGCCAGGGGAAACCGAAGTACTGAGAGAAAACCTGCCCCAGCGCCACATTGTTCACCACAAATCCCATTTTACCATACCCGGGTAATTATACGTAAGGTGATACTAAAAGAAATGAATCTTGAAAGATTTGTATTTACAATATTTGTGATAATAGCCATGTTTTCAATATAACCCATGAAAACAAAAACAACAAACTCCGTGGTTTTAGTCCGCAAGCGAATTATGCCGACCTAGCGACCGCCGCTTGTCGGCGAAGTTAGTACCAACTTTAGCGTACTAAAGCTAAAGCTAAAAGCATCCGGGGCATGAAGCTGAACTAACCTTAAATTAGTGCCGAGGTCAGGAAAACGTTGGTCTATACACCTAATCCCCCATACGCCTTAATGGCGTAGTGCTAGGATAGTTGCAGGCAGGAAGATTACAGCCTAATACTGCTCTCTGCGTCATGGCAAGTGCCAATATCATTAAATTTTATGAGGTTAAACTCACCTTGAATTTTCAGTCTCCGTTTACGCCTGCTAATCAAGTTCAATTACGTAATTATGGGTCACTATACTATTCACAGATCGTCACATCCTAACCTTACATACATGTGTGTACGTGCGTGCGTGTGTGTGTGTGCGCGCGCGCGGATGCAACATTTGTGCATGCGTATAGTGGGGGAAGGCACGTGCGTGAGGAATGACTTTACAAGTTTATTTTATGTACTCCACTCTGTGGCGAAACGATGAGGGTGTAAAGGTTATGTTGATTTATCCAAACGAATATCACTGGTGAAGGGTATGTTGCTCTCATTTTCGTAGCACAGTTTATGATGTGGCAAGTATTTGTGTTAGAGATGTTATAATATACGATCTGTGAATAGTATAGTGACCAATAATTACGTAATTGAACTTGATTAGGAGGTGTAAACGAAGACTGAAAATTCAAGGTGAGTTTAACCTCATAAAATTGAATGATATTGGCACTTGCCATGATGCAGAGAGCAGTATTAGGCTGTAATCTTCCTGCCTGCAACTATCCTGTCCTCCCCCTCCAAAATTTTTTACAGTGGTCCCTGTTAACCTTTCGGTGTATACCATTGTATAATAATTGCATATATGAAACATTCTGTGTGAACATATTGTATTTGTGTTTACTTAACCATGAAGTGTTTTAACTCTTAACATTTCGAGGTTATATCACCCTTAAATGTATTTCAGATCAAAATGCGGTATTGTCCACCAAACGTGACACTTGGGGAAGTATGGATTAACCATGGGACGTCACAGTGTTTCATGGAGACACTTACAGTCAGTATTACTGCTGGCTTACTGTTTCTCTTTGGGTCAGCACAGCTTTGGATTTACAGAAAATATGGTACACAGTTGGCACAGTTGTCATTACCACGTTCAAAGCTGTATCATGCACAGATTTTCTTCACATTCCTCCTGCCTGTCTTAGCAGCCATGCGATTTATATTGCAGGCAACAGTTCTTAATGGAGGAATTGTGTATGGGTACATGGTAAGTATGGAAAATGGTGTATAATGATTACAGTATAGCTGTACGATATGATTGTGTGCATAACTCTGTAATATGGTGGCCGAATGGTAAGTACATTAGGATGATTTATTTTTTAGAGTAATGGCAATACCCAAATTCACAGACATGATTGGCTAGGTAAGTAGGTGTGGCAACAATGATTGAAACCTCATTTAGAGACAGATGTACATGTACTGACTTTGTTGAAAAGATGTGTGTATAGTGTGGCTTGCTCTGTGAATAGACTTCATGACTGTGACGTTGAAGCTGGTCTAGGAATCTCAATGGTCAACGTGTGCCTTGTCTAGCCAGAACAAAGTTACACATCCCTGGATCCCTGGTCATAATGGGGATGCAGATGCCTTACATAGGGAGGGTGGTTTATGCCATGGTCCTAAATCAGCTGTTTCAGTCTCATCATGTGTTGGCAGGCTCAAGATTAAGGACTGCCTGAGTGAAAAACATCCCAAACACTGGGCTGTGACAATAGATTAGAGGCAGTCAAAGCTCTTCATTGAGAATCTGTGGATTAACTGCCTCGGGACAGGAAACAGCGTGGGCTAATAACAGGGATGCTGACTGGTCACACTGTGCATTGAAAAGGTGCAAAATGAACACAGCTGATAAAGAAAAGGAGTAATACAAAGTGTTAATCAACTCCATCCAGTGTGACTCAAAATGTTTTTTCTCTTTCTTCCTTTTTTAATCTTTTATCCTTGATATGTTTGAGTCACACACATTTTATCAGTCACACTGGATGCTGTTGGTTAACCTTTTTTAATATTGCTAGTGTGATGGGCCAGGATGAACCAAATCAAAAGGAATAACTTCACTCCCAATGAAGGTGCATGAAAGCTGTTTGAGGTGGAAGGTGTAAAAACCCAGCAAATATTTTTATTGTGTCAGTAGATCTTGACATATACTCCTTTGCAGTGTGGCAGACATTAAACCGATATTCTATCCATCCAGGCATTTCTTAACATTTGTGCAGTTATAGACACTACTGCATCAATGATCCTGTGGCACAGATCAGGCAGGCCATTGACTTTGGTCTGATCCATGATGTCGTTTTGACATATCACCACAGAGAGAAGTCAAGGGTGATCAAATGAGGAGGTGTAGGATATGACAGAATGAAGCCACCTCAACGGATTCACATGTTGCAAATTGCTCATTAAGATGTTGGTTATGTTGTATTTTAGCATCCTGTTGCACTGATTCATATCCATAATGTGTATATATTTACTGTCATTTAGTGCATACGGTTTAACTTGTCACTTCACACTACATGTTTCGGCATCATTCTGCCATCCTCAGGTGTATCAATCATGTTAAACCATTGCACTGCCTGCCATCAAGTGTCCATTTATAAAATGATATAAAATGTGTGTTCATCGTTGTTCATTGATAAAATTTATATATTAAAAGTTGTTAAGATCTATCATCTTACATGTCGTATATCAAACTCGTGTGTAACGCCATTTATCCGCTATGGGAGTCGTTCTTCTTATGTTTTAATTGTGTATATACTGTGTCTTATGATGTGTCTTTCTTATGTGGCTGCGTGTGTTGTATTGCTGGACATATGTGTGTGTGTGTGTGTGTGTTCCAGTGCCTGGCCTTGTACAATTAACTCAGTAAAGAGTCATGTATTTCAAGTACAACTGTGCACTAGCACACACTGCAAAATATCCAGTGATGGCTACCTGGACTGTGTCTGATAAATAAATAAATAAACAATAGGGGAACATGGCTGGATATGAACATATGTGGCTTTTGTATATCTGGAAATTTTATACAGAAGTTTAAACACATAAACCAAACATTATGTAGGCTTTAGCAGTCAGAATCCGGGATATTGTTTTGGAAATCACAGAATAATTTTGTCCTTCTCTGAAGATGTTATGTTAGGGTTTGACCAGCTCACAGTATGTGGGCTGCATGCAGCCTACCAGTTCCTTTTGTGAGAACTGCATTTTTGAAAATATGTGTTAAGAATTTTCCTCCTCTTAAAAAAAAGGCATCACTGCTTGTCAAAAAACTATGAAAAGTGCTTTCTAAATATTCCGTGCATAATATTTCAGTTGATTCCATACGACACCTAATAAATAACTTAAATGTATGGAATTAGTATTACTTTGTGATCATATGCAGTCAATCAAGTACTTAGCAACAGATTTTATAAGTACCATCAGATTGAAAGATATTTATGTTGGTATATTGGAAAAGTATACATTTTTTATGTGATCCTTGGGTAACTAAGATACACTGCAGCTACTCAGTGCTTTATGGTTGGACTACCCTATCTTACATCATTGAGAAATATGTTCGAATAGTGAGGAGACCTCTCAGCTGCTGCATTAAAACCTTAGTGTGCACAGTGTTCTTATAGGCAGAATTTTGAAAACAGATAAATCATCTTTCAGTAAACCTGCCTGTATCTTATTGTAAGCTGGTTCTTTAACTTGCAAGTCATGGAAGTGATGAGAAGGGCTGTCCTCTGTAGTAAAGACACTGTGTATTTCAAATAAATTATGATGAACGTGAGTCTCTGAGAGATACTTTTGCATTTGTTTACAGATTCTGTCTGTCCTGCTCACTGTAGCCATGTTCCCATTCTCTGCGTACATAATTGTTTTGGAACGCAACTACCTTCTGCCATCAGTTCCAACACGAGGTCATGGGCTGGTTCTTTTATTTTTCTGGACATTGGTATTGATATCAGAGAGCTTGTCTTTCATCAATTTGAACAGAGAAGACTGGTGGTTTCATCTCACTACGTAAGTGTTACTCTTAAACGGACTATCTAATCAGCAAATATGTTGTCTTACATAAATGCATCACAAAATTCTCTGATAAATTGTTTCTCATTTGTTTGTGTTTTGCTAGACTGACTGATGAGATTGAGATGGCCGTGTTTGTGACACGCTTTGTGTCATGTGTTATTCTGTTTGTACTTGGACTGCGAGCCCCAGGCATTATGACAACCAGAGACTATTTAAACCTGAACAACTCGTCCAGTGAGCACAACATTGAGATAGATGTAAGTCCATATATGCAGTCCTGCAATGCACAGCTTTTTGATCAGTCTGTATTGTCTTTATTGTATATTGCTGCAGAGCCTAACATTCCAACTACAAGTTCTCGTGTCCTTAATGGTCACTAGGATTATGCCACAGAATCTGTCCAGTTTTGAAGCATCATCAAATTTGTAACACAGGTCTCTTTTGTGATGGATTGTTAACCTTACACCCAACCTTCAAGCTGGAAGACTGATCCATACCACCCAGCCATAACTGCCAATTGAATGTATTGACACTTACCCTGAAAACCACTGCCTCCATTTGCATCATGTTGTGCTGACAAAGGACTAACTTAATTTGAGTTTGACCAGTTTAGTGGTTCAGTCTTTGACAGGAATAAAAGAGCGAGTCTGCTACTCCTCAGATGCAAACCAAACTAAAAACAGTACTGCGGTTATAGATAGATTATTTCTGTGAATTACGTAGTTCAATGAACAGAGGACTGAGAAAGTGTGTCCAAAGCCAAGATCTGCAGAAAAATAAGTTTTGCATCTGTCAATACAGGACACTGGTGTAACAAATCAAGGATCTACATTCCGAAATGTGTGGAAGAAGATGTCTGTTCTGGCTCCTTTCCTGTGGCCAAAAAAGGATGTCCTCCTACAGTTTCGAGTTATGTTCTGCTTCCTTCTTCTGGCAGCTGGGCGAGCAATCAACCTGTATGTGCCAATCTACAGCAAACTTATTGGTGAGTTCATGTCATTTGTTACATTCCGACCTCATTACTCCATGATCTTTTTTTTTTCCTGAGAGTGTCTCCCTTAAGAGTTTTCTGCAGAGAACTATTTGATCTGTCTTACAAATAAACCTTTACAAGAGTTTCAGAAATAATTTCACTTCTGATAGGGCAGGAAGTTGGTGACACTGCTGCATAAATCTCCAACTGTACAACTGGAAGAAACTACAAAACATATACAACTTCTTCTATAAAACAAATAGAGGAATTGTACCCCAAAAATTGACCTCTATGTACTCTTTTCAATGAACACCCTGAAACATATGAGTATTGTATACCTGCAAGGATTTGTAAATTGCAGCTCATATGGCAGTTATAAGACTCCATCATACCCAAGTAGTTCTCCTTTCATTGAGCATCTGTGTGTTTCTCCACCCAAGTCTGCTTTTAGAGGCAATTTAATAGTTCATCCCCATTACACTGTTTAATTTACAGCAGATGCAAATAATTTTTGCAAATAGATACTGTGCAGAGATGTTATTCTTGCTCGCTTTTTGTTAAATATACATTGTATAAGTATTGAAGTCACAATATGAAATATCAAGGATATATTAAAGATTATACAAGTATGACTTCGTATTGTGACGTGTTGCGCAATGGAGGACAACCCCTCACCCCGCCAGCGGTGACGTAACACTTTTGGAGCGTTGCCGTTGCTATGGTAATAAGCCAGTCAACACCCCGCCTCTCTCCGCGGTGACATAACACGGGATGCCGCCGTTGCCACACAGCAGGAAACAACTCTCGACAGCGTTGCTAGCAATATGGCGCCAGACAACAGTGGTGCCTATTACGTGGCTGTTTTCTGTGTTGTTCGGAACGAGGCTAAATAAGGAGCAGCGAAGACTATTCACCATTAGTTCTCGAGTTACAGTTCTCAAGTTCTTGAGTTTGCAATATAGTTACGAGTTAGCCAGGCAGTCAACCTTTCAGTTGTAGTCTAGCATTTGCAGTGTAGTAATTGTAATACTGCAGATAGCAGTAATTGTGAATCTGTGAATTGTGTGATTGTAAGAGCGAATGTGCAATAAGATTTGCTATACCCAATAAGGCATGAAGTTATTTGTCATGTTATACACCCAACACATGACAGTATCATAGATATTAAAATTATTAAAGGATGTATTATATATTAAAAATTATTAAAACTTAATTAAAATATTATTATCATTATAATTAATTAAATATTTATGTTTCATTTTTCACTTCTTAATAACACTTAGTTTTATGATAATGAAATTATTATTATTGTTATTATTATCATTTATTTGCTTCTTTGTTTACTTTTCTTCATTATTGTGTTTTCCCAAGTAATTGCCTGTAATTTGTTTTTGACTTATAATGTGTTTGTCTATAATGTAATTACTTTCATCTGCACTGTGCTAAGTCTGTAATTGGCCTTGCGGCTGTTGACTTGGCACATAAATAATAAAGAATTGAATTGAATTGAATTGAATTATTGAGCTAAGCACAGTGAAGTACATACCTAGCATAACGCCCATACAAGGAAGTGCACACAATATAATTAATGATAACAAGTATCACACAACTTTATATTGATAAACATGTATACATTAGGACTACACATAACAACCCCTTACAATAGCTTCCATATATGCTTATACATCATACCTTTGGGCACTATGACCATTCGACCATTCACATGTGGGCACTTAACAACATGGATCCATGAACTTTATAATGATGTAGCTCATCACTACATTAGGCACTATAGCTTTGAAACTTGGCATACATATTTTTTAACAAGTTTTAATACTTTTTAATAATTTTAATACATATAATACAAAGTCAGTGTACTTGTGTAGTATATATTTGAATATATCCTTGATGGTTTAAATACAATACTTATATTAACTTGAGGCACATGAACCAGCTTGCGGCATCTCATTTCAGCCTCACACATCTTACGTGATTGTGAGGCTGTAGCTTACTTAAGATATCGCCACCTAGGTCAGTTCTTCATGGAACCAAGTGACTTTTATGATGCCCCCATAAATAAGGTCCTACATTTCATTCAAAGTGTAGGATTAATAAAGGGTTAATCCAAAGGGGAAGCACAATAGATCATTGAAGGTCGCAGTGCGGGGGTTTTATGGCTCACCCCTCATACTCATACTCATACTCATACTCAACTTTAGGCAGAAACTCTGTATCATAGAATATGACATGTTACACCAGTATGGATCCATATTAGGAGTTCAGTGACGTAGACATATTCTTATATCTCTGCCTGATGATGGTCCTATGAGACCGAAACATGTAGCAGGAAATAAATATTCAGTTGTAAAATATTGATTATTTCTTTGTTTATCACTTTGTTGTGATGACAGCTAACCTAACCATATATGTTTGAGACACACAACAGGATGCACACTGTTAATATATAACAGTTTTGTCTGATATTATAAAATTACATCTAGTTATAAAATATGTGGTGTGACCAATCTTGTACTACGCTGTTCTATGTTGTGCCTCTTCTAATTGAGCCTGTTCCCAGAAAGGTTCAACTTAAACAGCAAGGAAATGGCTATGAAGCCTATGATTGGGTTGATGGAGGGGGCAGACAATGTATCACCTACTTCTTGCTTCTTCTGCCAGCATGTGGAGTACTACTGAACCAAGAAAGCGGTATTTTGATTTCATTTTATAACATGTTAAACAGGGTAACACAGTTTGTGAATGCTTTGCCACTGATTTCTAATGTGATTAGCTTTGCAGCAATAAACTTGTCTGTGCAATAAATTTACAGGACAGCGCAGTTTGCAGAATTTTGAAGAGCACATTTAGAAAATATGTAATATTCATAAAAATTTCAAAGTTGTGGAAGAATATGCAGTGAAATCAACACAGACTTACTACAGGATGAAATTAAAACTTTGTTTTACAGTGGACAGCATGGTAATTCAGAATCCAAGGTTTCGGTGGGACTGGGTTCTTATTTATGTGGGCTTCAAGTTCCTTCAAGGAGGTGGAACTGGAGGAATGGGCCTGCTGAACAATCTCCGATCTTTCCTGTGGATCAGAATACAGCAGTACACCACTCGTGAAGTTGAGGTAAAAGCAGCGTCTGCTCTGTCAGTTGTAGTGGTTTGTTGATATTCCCATTGTTAGGTAATAATGCTGTATTGTGGTGGCTGGGTCTTCTCAACTTCGGCAAAACCGGGGTACCACAATACAGTGTCATCATCCAGTATGAAAGGGCAAATGCACATTTGAGGATGCCATTGAAAGGTGCTCTTTATTTATACATGACAACCTGCCTGCTCATCTTGTCTCAGGAATATTAGAGTCAATTTTACCGACTACACAACACGTTTTTATTATTATCACACTACATGTTTCGACCTCAAGAGGTCATCCTCAGGTGTACGAACTAATTACAGGCTCGAATAAGTGGGAAAAACGAATGTGATTGCGTGTAATTATACAGTTGTACAGCTTATACAGCCTAATGGCTTATTTTGCATGCTGATTTACGATATATAGCCTCATAACAGACTGCCTGTCCAACAATGTTTTCTACAGTATCTCATCTGTTGTCCTTGTGGTGGGATTTGTGTTTCTGTTTCCTAGTAAATAGATGACTATGTGATATTCCAGTGGTTCAGACACTCCAGAGTTTAAGGATTCTAGACATCCTGTCACAATATTAAATACAACAGACAGAATAAACATTTTCAATGCAATTGAGGTGCAGTGAATTGACCATTATTACATATCCTTAGAGAATCATGTATTGAATTGTTATTGCTGATAGTATTGTTATATTTGGTGGCACAGGTTGAACTATTCAAGCACCTTCATGGATTGAGTTTACGATGGCATTTAAGCCGCAAGACAGGAGAAGTGCTACGTGTGATGGACCGTGGCACAGACAGTATTAACAATCTTCTAAACTACATTCTCTTCTCCATTGTACCTACTATAGTTGACATTTTGGTAGCAGTGGGGTACTTCATATCTGCATTTAATGGATGGTTTGGACTCATCGTGTTTGTCACTATGAGTCTATATATAGGTAAGAAAAGAATTTTCATGTTACTTCACATGTGTAAGTCCTATACGAATGACATTAAATTTAAATGTAATATATTTGATTTGGTTTATCCTGGTTTGTCCCACTAGAAATATTATAAAAGGTTATCAGCTCCGTCCAGTGTGATTGATGAGCGAGTATAGCAACACAGCATGGCCTGAACAACAGGATGACACTAAAGAGTCCTATTTGTCAAACAACAGAACCATGAGACGGTATACACTCAACTTCCTTTAAAGAGAGGCAGTATAAAGGACACAAACCAAATTGGTTCATAATTTTAACAAAGTCTTTTAAACCACACTTATAAATAAACTAATTATAATCAGTTATAAATATTTTAATGTATTAATGCACATTGCTGTAGATGTTAAAGGATCACATTTCATATTCATGGCATTGTGATGATACTGTATGTATGTATTGATATTGACCAAACGCATGGTAATAGTAGTTTCCGCATGTATTGATATATCCTTCTGAAGATGGTCTCTCAGACCGAAACATGTCAAGGATGAAAGATTAAAAAGGAGGGAAAGAAAAACATTTATCAATCTCACCGGACATGGTTATTAACTGTTTATAATTAACCTTAATATTTTAAATGTATATATATTAAATTCCCATTGAAGTGTTTTAGGAAGCAATTGATTTTAACACTAAAATTGGGAAAGCCTTGTGTGCTTAATCCCTGTAGTTATATGTAGTTTCTTTGACTTTCCTGGATTCTTTCTCACCAACTGGTGAATGAGTCCGTGTCCGAGGTGATCTCTGCAAGATGATGATGATGATAATATTTGGCACAGGGGACCTGCAGCTTAATGTAAGTTCCAGATGACAGTGGCAGTCTAGTATTGCTCCCATTCAACATTCAGCAACATTTTACATTTGTCAGAGAAGAAGGAAAGAATGCTGAAAATTCTACACCTGATTTGGCCTTTGTTAGACTTGAGACCTTTAACCCAGAAGTTCAATAAGACCACCAGGCCCTCAGCGTAAGAGAAACTTTACACTGGGATTTTGTATGCAGATTGTGTGCATTAATTATAAATTTAATGTTTGGATTCTGTTTGTGAAATGTAATTATAAATGTCATGACAAAATTAAGTCAGTGATACTTTCCTGTTGTAGCGGCTACAATCTTGGTGACTGAGTGGCGAACAAAGTTCCAGCGTCGTATGAACCTAGCAGACAATGCCCAAAGAGCACGTTCTGTAGACTCACTGCTTAACTTTGAAACTGTCAAATACTATGGTGCTGAAGACTATGAGGTGGACAGCTATCGTGAAGCCATCCTTAGCTTTCAGGTGACATTTTTGCATAACAATGATCACTTCTATGTTGGAAAACCTGTCTTGCCTGTATATATAATTTTGGAATTTTATGTTTATACTTTTGCATACATCCTTCATTCATTCATTATTGGAAGGGGTGGGTTTCCCCATGCACCACGACCAGTTGTTGATCTATTGTACGTCCCCCTTTGATATTCTACCAGTCGCCATACCCTACCGGTACTGGTGCTTGCTATCAGCCCCACTCAGCCAGCGAGTTTGGCCCCTCTACTGGCAAATGGTACCTGATACTTCCACCATCTACCAGAGGCATTGGAAACTACTTGGGTGGGAAACTTTTTACCTAATTTTGCTCAGTGGTCTCCTAGAGACATGAGGATCTTTTACATGCCGTAAATCTACGACATGGGACCCACGGCTTAAAGTCCCTCTCGGAGGACTTGTTCCCTGAATTTTTCCGCCCTTAAAAATTCCACGACCTCTGCCAGGTTTGAACCCGCATACCTCGAGTCATGAGGTGGGAACGTTACCCCTAGACTATGGAGGCCACTTGCATACATCCTTGGTGTTGATTGTTGCAAAGTTCATTAACCTTTTGCTCCTCCTACTATAGCACAACGCAGTGAAATTAAAAAAGAGCGCTGCCTCTTCTCACATGGTAGACTGTACCGAAGCATCATATAAAATACCCAGAAACACTGGTTTAATAACACAATACATAGAGTTTAAATGCAATGGGCAAACAGTTAACAATATAAATGTAACACATTTTTGAGGAAAAAAGATTTCTCATAACCAACCAACCAAACAACTAATTAACTAATTAACTAAGTGGATCAGAGTTATTCTCAGCTAATCCAGAAATCTGCAGCATTCTATGGAAATCAAAAGCTTGTCATCAAGTTCACACGAACCTGCAGCAGGTCCATTCCTAGCCAGACTTTTCCAGTTCACCCCCTTCCATTCATTTCAATGTTACCCTCAAATCTCTGTCTAGATCTCTTTCCTTCATGTTTTCCTACCAGAACCCTGTATGCACTCCTCCTCATAGGGCTTCTGTGATTTTTGTTATGGTATTTAGATTTTCCACTAGTAAATTAATTTCAGCAGCATAGACCAAAAGGTGGCATGTTGTATTCATTATCACCCTTTCCTGTGTCCTTCTGGATCGCGTATTCCAAAGCAAGTTTGAAAAGTTATGGTGATAAAGAATATCTGTGTTTCAGACCATTTTGAATAGGAATGAGATCTGTCTTGTGGTATTGTGAGGACTCATCACGTGAACGTTACAAGGAAGAAGAATATAAATTTGAAATCCTGCAACTCTGAAATGATGTGAACTGAACAGCTGTTTGTATTCATTTTCTTTTCAAATGATATCCTGGTCATTGCCTAAAGTCTGGCCGTAGGACTTTTAATCACTCCATAGATAGAAATTCAGTTAGGCTCTTGAGTAAAATGACTTTTAAAATGAATGAAATGTATGTGCTAATACATATGTGTTATAAAAAAAAGGCTTGGAAGATACACGTGAAAATTCACTGAGGTCCTTAAGTAAAGAGACCTTTAAAATTATCCAGACTAAATCAAAATCAGATTGGCTTGACAAAATTTAATGTAGGTCAGCTGTGCTGTGTTTTATTGAAATCAGTCAGCATGGGCTGTCTTACATTCAGATGGCTGGACATATGTGTGGACATGATGAAGCCAGTATATGGTTTCCAATGTTTTTCTAAACAAATCTAAGAAGTGAATAATTTATCAGTGCTTGTTTCAAAATTGCATTCCCAGATGCTATATGTGACTAGATTGATATAGATTCTGTAACAAAATATCTACTATGGGTTGCTAGGTAAAACTCGTAAGTAGAAATTTTTCATACGCTATATTCATTTTGCACCAAACCCTTCAGTTGTTAGTTTTACATTAGTGATATGCTGACTTCTCAGTCCTATTGCAGATTCTCCCATTATGTTTATGTCAAATATTGTCCCTGTTACAGACAGAAGAATGGAAGTCAATTGTGACACAGAACATTTTGAACACCGTGCAGAATGTGATAGTATGTGGAGGGCTTCTCACAGGGTCATTGCTATGTGTTCATATGGTTGTGACACACCAGGGTCTCACAGTTGGAGACTATGTCCTTTTTGCATCATACATTATTCAGTTGTATGTTCCACTTAACTGGTTTGGCACATTTTACAGGTAAGAGGTATTGATGTTGAACTGAAAGTTGAGTAAGAAATAAGCAGCAAGACAAATCTACTAAGTTCCGTGCTTATATATCAGTGGCAAAGGGTAAAATTACGTGTTTATAACCATCGTGAGTATAAGGTAAGGTAAAAAGGTAAAGAAAACTTCAGGGAATTCTCAAGCAGTTAGTATACAAGTATACAAAGATGNGCTTTCTTCATAGTCACCGCCGTGAAAGCCTCAAATCTTACAAAGATGAACTTGTTGATCATTATCGGATAATCCCATCCCTGAAATTGTTAAAGAAAATCCAAGAGAAGAAAGTCATAGGGCAAGTTTTCAGGTGGTCTCACTCATTACAAATCCTGATCCCATAACCAATCATCATGATCATCTCATTTCATGCTATATAACTTCTGCAATTGAAACAGCATAGTTATGTAACCTAATAATCAGTCATTTACTTGAAAACTTGTTGGTCTATGGTCTCTTGGTATATTTATAATTTCAGAGCAATCCAGAAGAATTTTGTTGATATGGAAAACATGTTTGACTTGATGCGTGAACAGCAGGAAGTAATAGATGCACCAGGAGCTGGCCCTCTGATGGTGAAACGAGGCGTTGTTGAGTTCCATAATGTCAGCTTTGGATACATTCCAGAGAGAATTGTTCTGAAGAATATCAGCTTCACTGTGCCAGCAGGCAAGACCGTGGCACTGGTGAGTCTGCCTTACTTATCAGCACGTACATTACATGCCGGGTAGCATAAGTTAATATAACTGTTCCATAATGGGCTTCATTCATTGCATCATCATTTGAATTAATGTTTACTGTAGGAAACGGGGCATCACATATGCAAATTAAAAACAATATTTTGCTGCAGTTAAGAGCATATTGAATTTTGAAAATACAAGTACATGCTACAATCTGCTTCAGAATATTTTGTCATCCCGTCTCCTTTTATACAACCTGAAGATTAATGTATAAAAGGTGTAATCTTACCTGTTATTTCATTTGCTCCCTTTGATATTTCCATTTTTATGTTTGTGAAGTTTGGGCCTTTGTTCTTTTCTTTCGGAAAAAAATAAAATTAGACATTAAGGAAGCCTGAGAATAAGTTTCTGAGTAGAATATTTGAACCTGAGGGTGTGAAGTATGGCAGAATGGAGAACATTATGTGGTGAAGTTGCACACTTCAAGGCAATAATGTTAAATGAAAAAGGATAAAATGGGCATGACCTGATCCTGCACTGTAAAACCAGAAATAGATACAACATTTTAGTTTGAAATATAGGAGACCATTTGGGTGAATAAGAGAAACAGGAGCTGAAGGTGTGAATTGGATTGGACTGGTTCAGAGTAAGGTCCACTGGTGGGTTTCCATGATCACAGCGATGAACCTTCAGTTTCTGTTATAACATATAATTTCCCAGTTAGCTGGTTGTTAATCAACTTCTCATGGAATCGCTTCTATCATGAAAATAGATTTAGAAGCGAGAAATAACTGAAACTGTGATCACATGTCCTGAAAGTTTCAGAATTAAATCAGTGTTGCAAAACACACAACAGAAGACATAATTTGAAAATTTTATACTTATTATTACATTTAATAAATTTAGTAAGTGATTTATTACTGCTTGTAACTGAAGCAATTCAACACATCAGTGGTGTAAAAGGCAGTGTAAGTAATTGGTTCTGTGGTAACAAAATCCAAAATTTCAATACAACCAGTACCAAAATCTGCCATTGGACTCATTTCTGAGCCCGCGTACTCAAGTTCATATCTTTAGGACCTATTTCCCTAAGATCTACTACAAATATCATCTTTCAATTTGCTTCTTGAAAGATTTTTGTCATAAAAATGTTGGGGGTTGCATATATGGTAACAAAAGCCTGTAGAGTGTGATTCTCAGCCTTTTGCAACTTGCATTCAACTAGTCATTTTGTCAGAAATTCTTAGTCCCATCATAGTAAAAGGTTCTCTGTGTAGTATTTTTTCACAAGTATATACATTTTAATATATTTGGAAACTCTTGTTTTCAACTTACATCCCACCCAGCCATCCAGCAAGTCCCACCAGTGGAACACGTCAGTTAATAAGCACTGCTGTAGGTTATGTTTATTAAAGTATTTATGTTCTGTTTTAGGTGGGTCCATCAGGAAGTGGTAAAAGCACAGTCATTCGGCTTCTCTTTCGGTTTTATGATGTAGACTCAGGCTCTATTGTTATTGATGGCCAGAATATCAAGACAGTGCAACAAGCATCATTACGACGAGCAATTGGTGTAGTACCACAGGATACTGTACTTTTCAATAACTCTATCAAGTGAGTTTATAGTACCATGACTTTTTTTAATTTATCAGATTGTAAAGTTACTTCCTAACTCTTAGTGCAAATTTTTCACAGTTACTCAGCTGGTCAAGAAATTGTCTGCTGTCCTTTAACCCAAATGTTTACAAATTTTTGGATGATAAACCATAAATGAGACCTATGCATAGATTGAATGAAAAAATTGGCAGTACAATAAAGCTTGTCTGGAAAGCGGCCTCCGTAGTCTAGAGGTAATGTTCCCACCTCATGACTCGTAGTACGCGGGTTCAAATACCCGGCGGAGGTCGTTGAATTTTTAAGGGTGGAAAAATTCAGGGAACAAGTCCTCTGGGAGGGACTTTAAGCCGTGGGTCCCGTGTCGTAGCTTTACGGCACGTAAAAGAACCTCATATCTCCAAAGGACGTCACTGAGCCAAAATTACCGACGTTTCCCGCCCAACAGCAGTCTCTAATACCTCTGGTAGATGGGGGAAGCATTATAGATACCTCTCAGCTAGTAGAGCCGGTCTCGCTGGCTGGGCGGGACTGATGGTAAGCACCAGTACCGGTAGGATATAGAGACTGGTAGAATATTATAGAGGGAAGCACAATAGATCAAACTGGTCGTGGTGCATGGGGAAACCCACCCTCTCTAAAAATAACTAACTAAGCTTGTCTAGAATAGAACCTGGATTAAACAGATACATGTTTTTATTGGAAGAATTCTCTGGTTCCTGAAATGTAGAGTGAAACTGTTTAATGTGGAAACAGAGAAACTGACATGTAATGTAATTTGGCATGCCTGAATATTTATTTCCTTCTTTTTAATTTGATTCTGTATTGTGTTTCATGCAGTGTATCTTAGAAGGAACATTTTTATAACAAATGAGAGAGACTGAGTATGATTTTCAACAAAATATGTACAGAGTATTTCAGTGATTGGTGAAAAAGTGAAAATGAAAGGAAGGAAAGACAGAGGAGAATAAGGAAAGAGAAGAAGAATAGGGAAAGAAATAAAGATTAAGCTGACTTAAAATAAGGTTTCTGTGATAGGCTTTTGTGATGCTGGTGAAGAACTTTGTATCAGTAGGGAATTCCTTGATCAGCTAAGTATCATCTGGTCTCATTGGTATAATAAATTGGGCAGCTCATGTATCATTTGTTCTTATTTCGAACGTGTGGCTAATATGAGCGTTATGTTTCAGGTACAACATCCAATATGGCAGGATCTCTGCACCTGACGGTGACATTGTAACTGCTGCAAAACATGCTGACATTCATGACAGAATTTTAACCTTCGTTGATGCTTACGAAACCAAAGTATGTATATGTGCTTCTGATTACCTGGTCTAATAGAAGAGAGGGAATGGATGAGCAGTAAAGAACACAGAAAATTCAAAATGGTCTTGAAGAGTATGGTCTTCTGATTGCTTAGCTGCCACCTGCTGCTTCTGGTTTCATGTTTGGCGTACTGTTCACTCCTGAAGATAGAGGTGATGTGTTCATCTGAAATGCCAGGCGTTCTCTGAAGTAGAGGGCTTTATAACCCAGAAGACCATACTGCTCATAGGCACTACTGTGAGAAAACCTAAATCCAACAAAATGACCTTATTTTGAAGTGCTGATGTCAATTTTAAGATCGTAATTTTTAGATACATACTGTGTGTTACTCATGTATTTCAAAATAATTTTTACTAATTCTATCAATTGCTGGTCACGGTAGCCGAGCAGTCTAAGGCATGCACTGTCTTCGCTTGCTTGGAAACCGGGATCATGGGTTCGAATCCCACTCAGGGCATGGATGTTTAGTTTGTGTGTGTGCGTTTTTCTGTGTTCGTTTACAGGTAGAGGCCTTGTGACGAGCTGATCACCCGCCCAAGGAGTCATACCGTATGTGTAAGATCTAGAAAAACCGAAGTGAACGGAGAAGTTCATGGAGGTAGGCCTAGGCCCACTGGGGCTGTAGTGCCAATGAAAAAATAAAAATCCTATCAGTTATGGTCTCTTTTCATATTAGCAATTAAGAAGGAATCTATTTTTGGGGTGCATACTTGGCTTCGTGGTGACAATGATGGGATGGACTGAGGATCTGCTAGGTAGTGTAGGCTGGAGACTACAGTGTAGGGCAGCAAGTTTGCAGGCATGCACACAAAATATTTCTGGTCTCAAGCCCAGAACTTTTTGGAATATTTCTTTGAAGCTGATGAATGAAGCATTTTTTTTTCTGCATGGATAAGTTACTAACCCATCAATTGCCCATCTAACTTCGAAGACCAAAAGCATTGATTTTTGTATACTCATTCCCTAGAGGTTCAACTGCCACTGAAATTAAACTTTCTTCATTTAGGTAATGAAATTGAGAAATACAGAGAAAACTGTAATGAACATTTGAAGGAAATGGGTCCTGTTAGAACCTGAACAAACCTGGCAGTTCTGTCCTTTTGAAAATACAAATATTTAAAGACATGGAATTTCCCTAGATGATTATACCTATTTAAAATGTTTAGAATTATTCTGATATTTATATTACCTGAAGTTTGAGAATTGTACTTAAAATTTTTGTCTGTTCCTGCAAGAGAATGACAGAGGTTGAGGGTGTATGAGAAAGAGTGTTTTGGGGAATATTTGGACATAAGAAAGAAGGTGTAGTATAATAATGGAGAGAATTACATAGTGAGAAGCTTTATAATCTGCACTATTAACCTAATATTATTAATACATAGAGTGATAATTAAGTTCCTGAACTTTGGCCATAAAATATGACAAAAAAAGATAAAAAATATTTATTGACACAGTCACTCAATATAGTCCCTGCTCACTTCTGCACAATGTTTACATTGCTCATGCAATGAATTGAATGCCCAAGAAAATGCTTCTTCCTGTATCACCTTCAGTTCTGTCATCACAGTCTGTTGGATTGCTGAAACAGCCTTGAATCTTGTCCCTTTGATCACATTTTTTAATTTAGGAAATAAAATAGAAAGTCAGCCAGTGCTAAATCAGGGGAGTAGGGTGGATGGGATAACATGGGGAGACCTTGTTTTGCCAGAAACCTCAGAGACAACGCCTGAAGAATGTGCCACTGCATTTTCATGCAGAAGATACCAGGGCCTACTTTCCCAAAACTCAGGCCTAATGTGATGAACTCAGTGATCAGTCTTTTAATCACCTCTTTATAAAATTTACTGTTGACAGTCTACTTTTCCAGCACAAGTTCATGATAAATGATACCTTAAGCATAAAAAAATATAATCAACTTTGGCCTTTCTGTTAATTGTCTTGTAATGACTCTCACCCTTCTTTGAACCTTTTGTGCCATTCAAACACACTTGTTCTTGATAAACATTTTTCACTGTATGCACTTTTCAACATTTCAAACATTTCAGTAAAAATATGAAATTAAAATACATTAACCAAAAAGTTGAAACTTGCACATCATATAAATAAACGTTCACTCGAACTAGTTCCATTACTGTATTACAGTATTACTGTAATAGTGTCAGTTCAGGAACTTAACTGCCACACGGTGTATGGCCAATGTAGAAGAATGAAATGGGTATGACACATAAAATACAAAATGTTAAGCAAAAAGTGCCAAGGGAAGAGACCGCTTGGGAGACTTAAGTGTATGTACGAGGATAATAGAATGAACCTGAGAGAAGTAGGATGTGAGAATATGAACTGGATTCAACTGATTTAGGCTAGGGCCCAGATGTCAGCTCTTGTAAACACAGTAAGAAACTTTCAAGTTCCCTAAAAAAAAAGTATTTATGTATCAGCTGAGGAACGATCAACTTTTCAACAAAGATTGTGTACCATGCTATTAATGTCTTAGAATTCTTATTGTTAATAGGTGGGAGAGCGAGGATTGAAATTGAGTGGGGGAGAGAAACAGCGTGTGGCTATTGCTCGCACACTGCTAAAGTCTCCTGCTATTGTATTGCTGGATGAGGCTACAAGTGCGTTGGACACACAGACAGAGAGGAATATTCAAGCAGCTCTGAACAGAGTTTGCACCAACAGGACCACCATTGTGGTTGCACATCGACTGTCTACTGTGATCCATGCTGATGAGATACTTGTACTTGTGGAGGGTGAGATTGTGGAGCGAGGCAGGTGAGGAATCTGTTCCATAATCATGTAGGGAATCAGCATACAGTTTTGTTGTTGTTGTTGTTGTTGTTGTTGTTGTGATTGTTGTTGAGATGAAAGGTGAAGAGATACAATTTGTCTTGTGCCACAACCATGACATTAGTGGAATGGAGGTAAAGCTCCATTCATTCTTAACCTGATGCACTGTATGATCAGCTTCACACTGTAGCTACTTGACTTCCAGGGCAAAGGCCTGTTTGTACCTATTGTGTAGAAGACTGTTCTCGCTTTGAGGCAAACAATTTCTGCTCCTTCCAGGCACTGAATCCCATTTACCCAGTCTGTAGGTAGTCACTTTTCTGACTGAATTATTCCATCTGATTATGTTGGTTAAACTGATGCTTCAGAATGAACTTCTTTTGCAGTTTTGTCTGCCCCAGTTATGTCATTTTTTATTATGGTGTGTGTGACATTGTATCAGATTCTTGCAGTGTGTGAATGGTAAATGTTAGAGTTCGGAAAATAGTAATTTCCACATGTGCCAGGTTTTGTGGATCACAGAGCTACCTGAAGTTGGGCTACATCATATTGTGTAGTGTAACAGCATAGCAGTGATTGAGATTCATTCAATGAAAGGTCATTAACTTGACGTCTTCTTCCGTCTATAATGTAACAGTATCAGTATAGATTTGGATGACACTAATCGACATTTAATTCACTAAAATGTTCATTAAAATGTTTAAAATATACATACACTCCATGTTTATGCCGCTTCATTGGTCCTGTGTTTCATGTGAAACACAGGACCAAGGGAGCGGCAGGCCCAATTGGGCACAGAATGGCTGCAATAAGATACGAAGAACAAACGTCACATAAAACCAAAATTAATAATAACAGCAACACTGTGCTTTAAGAGTACTATTGACAAAGTGCACAGTGCAATGGATTCTTTAATAATGTGTTGCCTGAAGATGGCCCAATGTACCAAAACATTATAGACGGAAGAAGGCTACGAGTGATACTTCAATGCAACAGGATGCTGAAATATAATATTATGGAAGGTAATACATCAGAATGCTCCCCACTCATTTGAAAGGTGATGTTCTGTGATCAATTGAGCTGTGCATCTTGAGAGAAAGAACATTTCTGTTATCAAGTAATGCTTATCACCAAACTCATACATTCTTTTGAATTTGTCACCATTAGTGGGAATGTCTGTTCCTTAGCTCAGGGAACTAGTCATTGGCTTCCCATCATGGCAGCCTGGGTTTGTTGCCAGGCCAAATTATGTTGCAGTGGACAAAGTAACATTGCGGTGGTATTTTTCTAAGTACTTTGGCTTCCCTTGCCAGTAATCATTTCAGCAACTGCTCCACATTCAATATCATATCATATGACACTTTATAATCACAATACTGACTGTTGTTAAATAACCAGCTTTAGTAATTACTGGGAGAGACAGAGATAGCATATCTATTCAGTAGCATGCACAGTGCAGTAATGAGTTTATGATGGTTTTTCTGTAGGAGTACAAAACAGAAGATACATTTTTACACTGCAGTATCTAGGTTTCTGACCTTACAGTGTGCTATCTGTAATGTTGTTGGTTTGCAACAGGAGATATGTACATGCTTATAATAATACAAGGATTATTTCAAAAGTAAGGCACAAGGTCCATTTGCCAGCAGTAAGATTCTGAAATTTTTCTGATATTGACATCAAGCAAGAGTGGAACATGTAAGTGGCGCCACTGGTGTATTTGTTTGCCCTTCTGTTTTAGCTGGCCATGTAATTGTGTTCCATATTGGGTGATGAAACTGTCTCATATCAGATGGCGCATAATGCACTGTACTTGCATGTCAGAATTGAAACTTTATGTATCAGGATCCCATCTTAAGTCCACATTGAATTGCAATAAGTCTGTGAAGTACTATTAGTCGTCATGCTTTTGCGCACAATGCTGATGCACCACAGGCAGTACAGGAAGCAGCAGACTCAACAGTAATGACTCGTTTGCGGTTATCATTAATAGGTGTCTTGAAGAAGGTTAATGCATGACTTGAGGAAATAGCTCATGGGACACACACTTCAGTAGCTTCTGTTTCCATCCGAAAATTGACACCACAAAACCTGACATGGTTGTGGCCAGCATTCTCACCTTGCATGAGGGTGCAAGGCTGCACTGTTGTAGGCCTTATGGGAAAGTATGGGTGAGAAGAATGGGAAGTGTGGTTTTCCACCTTCCTGCGTTCCTGACGTGAGTGCACTGAACTCTGATTTGTTTCCAATTTGAAGGAAGCATTATATGGAACATGTTTCAGAAGCACTGAGATGTGACCAAAGCTATTGGATATATCAGTACTGAGGGCCTGCTGTCAGGTATACAAGTCATAAGGCAGAATGGTTATTATGCTGAGTGACTAACTTTACTTCATTAAAGAAATTATTATTTATGGAATAAAAGTGAAGTGTGCATTACTTTTTAAGTGACCACAGTAGTGAGCATACAACCATCCGATTACAACGGTTACCAACGTAATACATTTTTCAATAACGTAAAATGTTTCAACCCCTATAGAGTCATCATCAAGGGTATATGTTGTGAATTCTCTAGTATAGTTATTAAAGGTCTGGTCTCATCTCATAGAGGTCTTATGTGATAAATGAAACAGTAGAAGACCAAGAAGAAGGTGGGAGCAGATGTAACAATACTAAAGGCCAGAACAGAAAATTCTCCTCATCCATGAAGTGATGGCGGTGGCAGTGGCAGCAGCCGGTTTTAAAGGTTTTATATTGTTACTCTTATGGTCTTTATTTTAGAAGATTTAAACATATTTACAATTAATACAAAGTGTCTGCAGTAATATGCTTTATTTGATGATATCCTGATAGTATTGGTTTAATTTTTTTTAAACATTTAAACTAGAATCCATTTATTTTATGCTTCAAATTTTCAGACTTGTGACTCAAAACTCGAATTTTAGACTAATGGCATGTTGTCATACTTTGGTGTCCCAAAGTGTCCCACTCTTAACTGCCCGTGGTAAAATATTAGCTCATTTTTAATATTTTGTATAGTTTCTGATGTCCTTTTAGCGCTTCTATAATAAACACAGCAGAGTGGTAATGTACTGGAGCTTAAAATATTGAAATGTAGGTCTGAGCCTTGAGTTCTAGGAATATAAGCCTGTGTGTTCTTGGATTTATGACCCATTAGATTATATTAGATTTACTTTTAGGTCGTGTTTATAAGACTCCCAAGTGGTTCTCTTAGGATTCCTATAAGTAGCTTAATCTACTGTAATGTTGCCTATTTTAAAGCATATATATCTGTGATCCAATAGGGACGGCTCATCAGATACATGCCAATTGCTTACTAGGTTTTCTATTTTATCTGTCCCTAGTGTCAAGTCAATAACCTCCTTCCTATTGCAGACCAGAAAGGTTGGTTCGTTACCATGAGTTAGAATATTCAGTTCAAACTCACCAGAAATTCTGTAAGGCTTCATCCCCTTGGGTTAGTGCCGATGCTCCCCACAAGATGTGCGCATTGGCATCACACCCAATGATGAGTTGCTTCTTCCTGCTAAAGCACTAGTCTATGATGTCCCTCATTTCCTTAGTTGGTGGAGGTTCATCTGAGTCATATGGAAGGTAGACTGAAGCAACAATGAGCTCCTTGCTGCCTCCTTGATACGGGTATATTATTCTTACTGCTGTTGTATCCCTATAACAGAGCTCTAACAAAGGCAAGGCATTAACATGTTTCCTGATATAAACACAGGATCTTGCATTATTACTGGGTACAGCAGAGTAAACTGTTCCCCCTGTGTTAATTAAGCCCTTTATTTGACCCTTGTATATCCAAGTTTCCTGAATAAGTGCTATATCTGCCTTACCCTCAGCTAGTTGCTGGTACAGAGTTGCCGAGGCAAATTTGCTGTGGTGTAGGTTAATCTGAAGAAATTTCATTTTGTTTGTATGTGTTGTGCGTGTGTGTGTTGTATGAGTTTATATGTATTATGTGTATGTATGTATTAAAGATGTTTTTGTTTCGTGATTTCTTCAATTGGGGAGGGGTCAATTTCAATCTTATGTCCCTCCCTGCCCTTGGATTGGGTTCCGGGCGAAGAGGTCCCCTGATCCGTTTTACTTTGGTCATGCAGGGGGCTGAGTATCTCATCCCCTTCCTCCTCAGAGTCCAAGTTGGAAGACACAGTATCTGTCACGGGTTCTGCCTGGCGCTGAACTTCAGGATCATCCAGTACCTTAACAGTCCCCTGTGAGAGTCCTGTGAATATTTTGTAACCGATCCTCTGTATAATAGTATGGGAGTCCGGTCTATGAATAAAATGAGCCTTTGGCCTTTCGACTCAGATTGCTAGGACATCTAAAAATAAAGGATATTACTGTGTATAATTTTGTCAGTTTTAAATATTTTTAAATATCAGAAAATAATGACCAGAAGAATAATAATGTAAAACCTTTAATAACTATGCTACGGAAATAGTAAGATGTACCACTGATGATGACCCTATAGGGGTTGAAATATGTTGGGTTGTTAAAAGAATATGTTGGTAACTAATGTAATCCAATGGTATGCAATAAATTAATATCTTTGCTAAAGAGATACAGAATATTGCAAAGATTGTATTTAGAAAATATGTGCTACTCCAAATTGGAGTACAATTTTCAGTTCTTGTTATATTATTAGTGTAATTACTTATTTGAGACCTTTAAAATGTAACATTATGGTTATTTTGCAGACATGAAGATTTAATTGCACTGGGCAATGTGTATGCAGCTATGTGGGAGCAGCAGCTGAAAGCAGGTGACATGTCAGAAATACAAGAAACTGACGACACGAACAGCAAGGAGAGAAGAGATAGTAATGCATGAGTTAGACATTTGAATATCAGTTTTAACACATTAATACCACCTGGGCATTGGTCAGGCTGGTCTTGCAGCCTACCATCCTGCCTGATTTTATCAATAGTTTTAAACATTCATATCTCCAGAAGCTGTCATCCAACATGTGACAAGTATTATTCTTTTATAAAGAGGGAAAAGGTTGAAATACTGATAACTAAACGCTGTATCATACTGGAAATTTGTGGCCATGTGCATTGAACAGAGATAAATTTATGTTAGAAGTTACTATTCATGGTCTAAATTCCTTCTTTTCTTTTAGTTTATTACAGTTGTCCCCTACTCTGTGCCATAATGATATCCATCTCTCTGGTTAGAGGCTGATGACTTCTTCTTTTTAGGGGTTAAGAGGGTCTTGACAGTGTATTGATGGTGGATCAATTATCAGTGTTCCAGACTGGATTGAGGGAATTTCTCATGGATCTCAGGGATAAGTACCGTGTGTTATGATACCTGAGGCAAGAAATCCACATTGTACAGAGAGAATCAGTAAATGATGGTGGATGGATATTGTAGCAGTGTTTTTGGCTACCCAGTTGTGATAGGGCCAAGGATAATATGGGATCACCATATCACCTTGAAAATGATGGTTTGATGAGACTCCAAAATGTAGGATTCACTCATCTTTTATGTAACCGCTGAAGGGCACCAACATAAGTACAGACACTTGGTTACAAATACATAGCACTTATCTGATTATTCTTTCAGTGAGAAACTTCCCTTTTCATTATTAAACTTTTTACAGTTACTGACTTCTCTAAAACTCGAGACTCTGAACAAGTTGGTCTAGTGGTAATGTTCTAGCCTTGTATTCAGGATGTTCTAATCTGACATTGGCTACCCTAATTGAGGTTCTCATGGTTTCACTTAGTCTCTCCAGGCAAATGCTAAGGTAGTACTTCATTTATGCCACCCCATGGTCTTCCAAATCTTTTCCAATTTATCGTCATGCATTGTTGTCGTACCATCTGATGCCACATAGTCTTTGACACTGAAAGTACTGTATAGTAATGTATGAAAAAATATTCTACAGACTGTTGCTTAAATTTCTAAAATATCATGATTGTAACTTTTCTTAGACTCTCCTTCACAGAGTCCCCTTCCTGCTGACCATCTCTTGAGATATTGATCTCCTTCCCCTTGACAGTCTCTTCCAAATTCTAATTACTGTAACAGAACACCTTGCTTAGAGGACCAGGCAAGGTGTTCTGAACTCTCCATTTCACCTGCTTCCACACTTACACATTACCTGCTGTGCCTAGTCAAACTTAGCCATGTTCTTACGTCAGTGGTAGGTTTTCAGCAGCTGCAATGATTAGCCTGCGATTCCCTGGTTTATTGGAGTTAGGGTTAGGAGTGAGGATTTGAAACTAGGTCAGGCTGAGTTATGAGGGCTCAGGACTGCAGTGACACCAAAAGGGTGAGGTTTTATGATTGAGCGAGTGAAACTGAGGCTATAGGGGAAGGGTACTTCACCATTTCCAACTAATTAAATTGCATACTGCCATATAGGACAGTTCAACAGAGTTTGTTTATTTATCATGGAGAATCTAATTCACACTGCAGAACTCATCTTCAGACAACAGCCCCTCTTCAAATCAAACAAGCTTCCTCAGAAGTTAACTCACTTTAAAAATACTTAAGGAGAAGAACTAAGTAACATCTTCTCTACACCACTTTCATTTCCTCAAGTAATCCCCCTCTTGACTCAGGAAAACACACAGCCTTCTTTTCTTCATTTCTGGCAACCTGTCCCTTCTCATAGTGCTGTTAAGGCTTTGAAAGTGTAGCTGCTCCAGCAAGGTGCTTTCCCAGCCTCCACTTTCCCATCCTAAGGGTATGTTACCAGTTCAAGGAGGAGCAGCCCCATGAGGTATTATCATGTAAATAATGAAGCCATGAATATTACATTACTGACTCACCTTCTGAGCCTCCTTTCAGAAAGGTACATAACATCTCTGCCCAGGAGCTCTGCCTTTGAGGTTCCAAAGGTTGACATTATTGACTTTTCTGTTGGTAACAAAATCCCTGGAAGAAGGCCAGTATTTAAACATTTCAGTTTATCAGGCATGCTGAGGATGAGTGGTGATTTCCTAGCAGAGATTTTTGACAATTTAGGATGTGGTAATGTGGTTTTGAGTCTACTCACAAACCCTTCTTTTCGCCATTTACCCAGATTCTAAAAGCAACATATTTCCATTGGGTTTCAAAAGTTATGGACACACCTGCCTAGCACTGGGCTAGGCACCCCTAATGCTCGGTCAGTATAGTTCACTTGTGGACTACAAGCCATGGAGTTTAATGAATTGGGACGGATATGAAAATGGGTGTGATCTTAGGGAAGTTCTCCAGGATTGGCTGGAAGTTCTGCATGAAATGACAAAGATAACCATTCAGGATAAGTGGCCTTCAATCTAAGAACTGAACCTGGGACTTCCTAAGCACAAAACAGGACAGTTTCAGCACTCAACCATGAATTTTGATGGTTTGAATAGATTAATTGCAGTCATTGTTAAACAAACATACAAGTGTTTTTTATCAAAATACTTTTTCAACTGTATTTAAAAAAAGCAAAACATTTTCTAATTCATCAGAACCTGCACTTGGTCTGTGAAGTTTTCATAGAAGTTGGATGACATTTATTGGGCAAATGATATGATATTGCAGTGATTTAGCTGAGACACTAAGAACTGTCTTTGGTGCTGAGACAGTTCACACACTTGAATGGCAGCTCCCAATACTAAATATGTTAACCACTTTGTAATGTAATTTATTTATCCTGTATGTACATTTTGCTTTATTATTTTAGAAATAGTCATAGGTTCCCTCAGTTCCTACAACAGTAAAATCCCCTGTATTGATGAAGTTAATATTTCTGGCATACTGCCTAATTAGAACAAGATACAAATTATTATCTAAGTATATCTAGTGCTATGTTGTGTCTGTCTTATACTCATGTTTTAGGTGTCAGAGTGGTGCAGCTCTCTTGTTTTGATGTGGTTCACCTACCAAGAACCATATTGAAACAGCAGAGCTACACCCTTATGACACTTAAAAAGCTAGTATGAGACAGTAACTTAGCATAGCACAATGCACCAAAATCAACCGAATTACAATAACAGTGGCCTATATATATATGTATGTATTGTCACGTGTTTTGGCTACTGTGGACGCCCTTCTGATTGCTAGTTGGTTTTATTAACAACCTACTAGTCGTAGCTACAATTAATAATAACACTGATGTGGGTTTACACAATTTACAAACCCTACACACTAATCTCTTCACTCTGTCTTCAGTAGTCTTCTCTTATTTACAGTATAACACTGGAGCTATACAAGCGTCACTGAATTACACACTCCCAATACACAATGCCTTCTCAGTTATCACCACTATCACTGATTATCACACATAAAATCATCTAGTCATGTGTTCAGTTCTTCTTGCAATTGACTGACTTCTGGATGCTGAAACTTCACTGTTACTCTGGCGGCCACTACATTTCAATTGACTGGTGTCTTCCAAGTCCAAGTCACATTGTGACTGATGGTCAGTCAGTCCATAAGTCTTGGTGTTGATGTTTAGTACTGTTTGACAGTTATGGTCTTGTTTTTGTGAGGTGCCCTCTCTGACAAGAGGATGGATCTGTCTTTTGTATATGATGTTGGCCCTTGCCAGCGCAGTCTTTCTTGGGTCTGACTTGCTACCGTAATTTACTGTCTCAAATTTGAGACTTCCCTTTTCGTTGCCTCCTACGACTCGCAGGGTCACGGTGGAGGTATTCGGCCCTGCCTCCACACGGGTTCCTAAAATGTTCAAGTCAACCTCGGCTGTTGCTACGCAATGAACCTTCTGTTGTCATGCAGTGCTTCGAACAATTCGTTTCCTTTCATCTCCTAGGAAACATGTTTGTTGTCCCAGGCATTCCCAGACAACGGCCCACTGTTATCACTTTTGTCGCTGTGGGAACTCCCAGTGTATTCATTGTAACCGTGAAGACTCATTGTTTGCTGTTAACTCCCTATTGTAGCTGTTGCGCAGCGATGACTGTAAGATAGCATGTTACAATATATATATGGATTTTAACGTAATATTAGGTTTGGTCTTTTATATATGAAATTTATGACTTGGATATTTTAAGTCCTTAATTTTTTGTTTTGCTTTAATGTGGTACATCCCCTAAAGATGGTGTTGTATGACTGAAATATGTTGGTGTTTTAACAACATGTAATCAACAAAAGGAAATAAACTAGATATACTTAGAGGGTAACTTGCATCTTGCTCTAGTAAAATCCTCACTTAATATTTTTCTAAGGGTAACATATTTGAACATTAATTGCCTGTACAAAATCTTTCTTGGAATGTTGGTGGTTGTCTTAGTTGGCCAAGAAGTTCCATAATTTTATGGAAGCAGTTTTATCACCATATTCACAAAATCTCAGTATTTGGCCCCATCTTGATCCAGCTCAGTCCACTCTTCAACTTCACACATTCCCCTGAGAGCCATGTTAATGTTAACCTACCTTCTAGGCCTACAGCTATGTCTCTTAAATGGCGTCTTCCTATGAGGTTTCCAAACCATAACTGCATGCGTTTTTCACTTTTGCAATGTGTGCTGCTAGTCACAACTGTCTTAGTCTTAATTTATTCAGAATGTTGTTAGTAAAGAATGTGACTTATGAAGCCTCATGTTGTACGAACAGAGAATGTTGGTTCAGGCAGTAACATTTGTGACTCTTATTGGGGAGGGAAAAGCTGGGATAGCGTAGTCCATATAGTGACTAGCTATGGGCTGGATGACCTAGTGCTCAAGAATTTTTCTCTTCTCCATGTCATCCATACTGGCTCTGCGGTCCACCCAACCTCCTATCCAATGGGTATCCTGGGATCTTTCTCCGGGGTAAAGCAGCTGGGGCGTGAATCTGATCACGCACCTCCAACTAGTGCTGAGGTTAAGAAAATGTGGATCTATACATCCACTCCCCTATACATCTTAATGGTGTAGTGCTTAATTAGTTAAGTAGAGGGACAACTTTACCTTATTTTGGAGGTGCCTGGTTAGAATTTTGGCCTAGACACTGACTATCCTGGTTGAGGTTTTTGTGGTGTTCCTCAGTCCCTCCAGGTGAATGCCAGGATTGGGCTTAAGGCCAAAAATTCATTATAACATTTTGTTTAGCAGTACAGTCCTATACCCAATCAAAATCTGTGTTTATTAAAAGCATGCTAAGAAAT